AGAAAATTCAAAACAAGGAAACAGCTGCAGGGAGAAAACCTTGTACGCTTCCTTGAAGCAAGTGCAAATTAAAAAGGGAGATCCTCAAAACATATCCAAGCGTTTCCTGGATAACAAACAATACACGTACAGTACACTATATCTAGAAATATAATACAGTACTGTACTGTACTTTATCTGTTACTGCATGGACAGAAAATCCTTTGATGGCACTACTAATAATAACGAGTGAGTTATTGGCAATAAATCTGGGTTTCCCTCATTGTTATTATTATTATTATTATTATTATTGGCACTATCCTGCATAGTGAAAAGCAAGGGAATATTGGGTGAAATGATGACCATGCGCTGTACGGTATATGCACAGTAGATTAGATTCGGTAGATACATGCATGCATGCAGTATTTACCCTCGTAGACCCGCCCAGCTGGGACTCGGCCCTCGCCTCGCCCAAATTGTTGGTGGCCACGCAGGTGTAGCGGCCGCCGTCGTGGGGCTGCACGCTCATGACCTGCACCCACCTGCGCACCATGAGTCTCTCTGGCCCGCCTCATCGTTGCTGCACGGCGATGGTCGTGCGGTCGCCTTTATTTATTTATATAAATAGACACATCATCATCATCATGCAGATATATACCACTGTACGTGCATGTATGACAAGACACTGTACTGTACTTGGGAGCACGAAATGACTGCCGTCTGATGATGCCCGCACCGTCTCCCACGTGATGGTGGGCACGGGCCAGCCGCGGGCCTCGCTTGCCAGGGCTGCATTCCCATGCTGGCCCACTCGGACCTGGGGCTCGGGGCTGCTGGTGATGCTGGGGGCTGATGATTCGAGGGATAATTTGAAAAGAAAAGGACCATTTCATCATCGATCATCATCCAATACTCAATCATGTACAGTGTACTGTACTTGCCTTCCTCGCATGGCCCCCATTGGGCCACAGTGAGCAAGGATTGCTGCTGCTGCTGCTACTTATTGTTCTTGTCCACGTCCTCGTTGATCGAAAAAGAAGAAGAATCTTCGAGTACCACAACAACCACAGACTCTTCCCGCAACTGGCAAATGTTGTCGTAGGTCTTGCCATTCGAGCCGCACACGAGTCTCTGGTCTGTGAACTGGCAAGTGGCTTTTCGGTCCTGATGCCGATGATAATAATGATAATTGTAATAAGAATAGTAATAATATATACAAAGGATGATTCTTTACCCCTGATGACCGGTTGTCGTCACGTAGTCGGCACTCGAGGTTGTCGCCACAATCGCCAAATAACCGAGTATTCCTCGAAGATGATGATGATGTTGATGACCCTTGACTGGCCCTGTCCACATTCGACGAGGTGTCCTCATCGTCATCCGAGTTGCTGTTGTAGTACTGTAGTCGCACTTGTCCCCCAGACTCGCGGCACACACTGTGCAACACCCCCACGGGTCCAGACTCCAGAGTGAAGCCGGCCCTGCAGCCCTCGGCCGCGGGGCACGACTCGGGTTCGCATTCCCCGTCAGAGCACGATGAGTTCCTGCTGTCTCCTGCTTTCGTCTCGTCCTCGTCCTTTTATATACAGTATATTCACATTAAACAAACAAAGAAAGAAAGAAAGAAAGAAACAAACAAAATGTCACTCAGCATCAGCACACTCTTTCGACCACTATACAGTATATAAAGCTACAGCAGCAACAACACAACCACTTGCAGTGATATAAATACAGTACTGTACTGTGCATTTCTTGGACAAACGAGAAATGATTGAATGAATGAATGAATAAGGACGAAACCTGTGCCAATGACGAGGGCGGAAGAAGGAGCAGCAGACCCGAGGACCACACAATAATGACTGTCGCACTCGCCACCACCGTCTTGCCCGTTTTCCTCCATCTCATCATATTATATATTGTACCTTCACTCCACTAGTGACTATAAGTATTATACACCTGGTGACGACTGATGCAGCACACGTATATATATATAGTCGAATCTCTTCACACACTGTTTGTATTGCACCGCAAACAGCCGGCACTCGTTGACTGATTGATTGATTTCCTGCAATATACATACGAGCATCACGTGGGTTATAGTATTCACATGTGTTATTGTCATTCGCCTTCATGTGATGGACGCAATAATCCACTATATACAGGTACTGTACTCGACTCGAGTATACACTATACAGTAATATATATATATATATCCACTCAACGCGAATAAACAGAATCCACAGCAGCAGCAGCAGTAGCAGCATGAAAAAAATTTAGTAGATTAAAAAATTAATCTAAAAAACCACGTTTTCAAAAAACAAAAAATCACCTTAAACGTGGTGCGCATCTATTTCATCCGGACAAACAAACGGACAAGAAAGCGAGTTAATAAAAACGTGTTAATAATAATAAAAAAGAGAAACACAACAAGGTGGTAATTTAAAATTCCTCTTCTTCTTTGATTCGTTCACTCATGTATTGAATGAGCTGCAGCTTTTTGCACACGACAATATATCAAGAATAAGCCTCTGCATATCGTATATACATAGCGCCTTTTTTCCAGGATATACATCAGCAGTGGTCCACTTGATGAATTTATGCACATGTGCCGCGAGTTGATTCTTCTGATTGAATGTCTCAACAATATACACCCATGATGAGAGCCTCGTCTTCTTCGTCGTCGCCGTCGTCGAGAAAAATAACGAGTGAGCCTCAGCCTCACCACCCCAGCCAAGTGCAGTAACACTACTACTGTAAAGCTTTGATGCCGTCGGAAGGACAGAGAAAATTCCATCGGCCATTTTCTTTTCCTTCTTCTTTTTTTCCTCCCTTACGTTCCAAGTTTTCAGAATTCGACGACGACGACGATGAACATCACGGGCAAATAGGAATAATAACAAGCCAGGACTCACCACCAGCAACAGGGAGAAGAAGAAGAAGAACAAGAAGAAGGATTCAGGAAATACACCCAAACAGCAGCAGCAGCAGCCAGCACGCGTAAAGCAAGCAAGCAACCAACCAACCTATGGGAGACACACAAGGATCCTTAATTTCCTTTCCTTTTCCCCTTACATATGACAAACACTGTACTGTACTGTGCAGTACTGTATATTTGGATCAGGCAGGCAGGCAGGCATATAGCCAAGCAGCAAAAGCAGATGAAGCACCAGAGAGTCGCGGACAGATGAGATGAGTTGGAACGAAAGAGATGGAGAACCTGGTCTTATTGGTTTACTTTTTACACCTCTCCTTGCAGTGACGCAGTGTATTTACAGTCCAGTACACACACACACACACACACATGCCACTTGATCTGCTTTTTTCAGCATGCATGCTGACGGGTGAACCTCTCTCTCTCTCGCTCTTGTTTTTCTCAGACTTGACTTGGCGGGTTCACATCCTGTTGACCTCCTCCTCCTCCAGTCCTCCCGCATTATTTTCTCGTCAGCAGGACAATGCATAAGCATGTGTGTATGTGTATGCATGCTGGCAAGAAGGGAAATCCGATATATTTCTCCTCTTCTTCTTCTTTTCCATTTGCAAAAGAAGAAATAAAAAATAAGAGGTTTCTCGCAAATAAAAGTGCAAGGCCACAGCAGCAGTGCAGCTCACGTACATGTACAGTACAGTACATGTTGTGAGGCTTGAAAGTCACTTCCAGCATCATTTTATCCAAATGAAACTTGGTGCATCATCTCTCTCTCTCTCTCTCTCTCTCTCTCTCTCTTTTCTATATACTTGTAGTATAATGGCTGCATCAGTTCAATGCTTGTTCGTCCCTCTCTCTCTCTCTCTCTCTCTCTCCATCTCTCTCTCTTTCTTTTCTATATACTTGTAGTATAGAATGGTCATTGATGGATTGATTGATTGATATTCAAAATTGCATATCTTTATCTGGTGCACAATTATACAACGGAACAACTGCAGTACAGTACTGTATTGTATATGTAAAGGCCGTATAATACTCACCATGAGCAACACATGTACAATGCACGTGTGATGTATGCTGTGTCCATTATTCCATTCAATTCTTCCACTTGTGCAGTAGGAATAGGGAAAGCAAAGAAAAAGACGAAGAAGAAAGTGCTGCTGGATGAATCAAGGCGTGTTATGCCCGGATCACATATACAACGTTGTGCCTGCTGTTGACGTGAGAGAGGAGCGTCATCTACAAAGTCAAAAGTGTTTGCGGAACGTAGAATCTGGTGCATGAGCAGATGTCTCTGTACATATGCAGTGGTGCACTGCTGCTGTATAATGAAATTTATCCGTCAGCCCATCATGATCGATGCTGCACCTTATTCAAAATTGCTGCTTAATCCTCTATACATACGGTACATATGGAACCCTCGTAACAATGAAATGGTTGGGAATCGGGATCTGTACAAGCAGCCAGCACAGCAGTCATCGTCAGTCTGGTACTTTTCAAGGCCTGCGTGTACTGTACTGTTCATGCACCATTGTACTCATGCATGTGCACGTTGCCGTACTCTTTTACTTATTGTCCCCGTGGACACTTTGTAACTGACTTGATTGCTGTCAACGTATTCAGAGAAATATCTCCCTTCTCTCGTGCTTATTGACGATAATAAAGGACATATATATACAGTATATATCACGTACACTATATATACTGTACACAGGTGTAATTGTGTGCAGAGTTGGTCTTTCAATTTATATTGCAGCACTGACTGCTGGCTACTAACAATGCTAGCTTACTTTTCTGTCAGCAGGACTCAGCACTACTATATCACATACTTTTTTATTTTACACAAATAGGCATATATATATACATTATTTGGAATTCATCGTTTGTCGGATCCTGATATTTTTTGAATGAATAGGAGAAAGGCGCCACGATGCGCAGAGATATGAGGAAATCAGAGCAGATACGAGGACGATACAGCACTATACTGTACTGAATACCTCTGCTGTTCGTTGATGAGAGAAATCCATGCGGAACTACTATAGCAGTACTTGAACGAGTGTCAAATGCCTATGACATGTATATGTGGGGATGTCAAGAGGAAGAAGAAGAAGAAGAAGAAGAAAAGCCTTGGAAGGTTCACGGGCATAAAATACGTGCAAGTGTATGTACTGTATATACTTGGAAAAGAAAAAGACACGAGAAATGTGGGGAGTTGATGAGGGAAAACCTTGTTAAAGTCGTACACTTGAATAATGTATTCGTCGTCGAGTCAATAATGAAGGTTTTATTGTTTCTATATATCACCCGCGTATTTATCGCGGCACGCTTTATTAATCTGAATACGCAAGTGCGCCTTTCCTCCTCCTCCTCCTCCTCTTTTTATTTATTTTTTCATCCATCTTCCTTTGTAATCCCACCACCACCTTGTTTCGCTCCATCCCCCCGCTGCTGCCATCTTTACTCTTACATTGTTCTTCTTCTTCTCTTTTCGTCATCATCATCAATATTATAATAATTACGTCGAATATTTGCTCATTATTCTTACTTTTCGATCCCGAGAGTCTGCGTGAAGCACTGCAGGTACCATACAAGTGCTAGGTGGCATATGTATATGTTGTAGTACTGTATATACGTAGATCGATCCTCATCAATACATCAATTGCGTCTTTTTCTTTGTTGCGTCGTGAGTGAGTGAGTGAGTGAGTGAGAAACCATCAGAATGGCGTGTTGTAAATCCCGCCTTATTGCCTATTACTCGACGGCGACTGCTGCAGTGCTCTTGTTACTCGTCTTGGCCATGGCCCCGCCTTTTTGCTCTGCAG